TATACGAGACCGCGTGTATACCTGTCAACCTAAGAAGAGACATGTATACGCGCGCCCATATACCTGGGAATCCGACGTTACGAACAATGTGGCATCGTCAAGAAAACCACTTTTTTGCTGTGTGTGTGTGTGTCGAGTCGAATCGATGTGTGATGGTCCCAGGGCCCGAAACTGGGCGAAACTGGCATGCAACGTCTGCATACCAGGGTATAGGTTCTGCGACGATTGAACGTGCTGGATGCGTACATGCTTGGGCGACGACGAAGGCAGCGGCGACGACAGCGGCGGCAGCCTCCCAGCTTCTCGCGCTGGCGCTCGGCCCGCAGCGAGCCTGGGCAGGCACAACTGAAACTATCGATGACACAAAAAACGGGTCTTACGCGAGAAGACATACTGGCACTAAGCCGCGGCTTACGCGGGCCGCCAGCATGGCACACCGCGTCGAGAGAGGAAGGCACTTACGCGCGACCTTACGCGGGAAGCTTACTTGCGAATGTCAGCGCAGTCGACACCGTTTTCTCCCATCGCTCACATTGGGACGGACAACCTGAGGACGGTGCCCTGCAGCATATGGGGTTCAGAAGCGACAGCGGCAGCCGTTTGGCAAGCGACACTTGTCTCACACGGACCGCCTCCGGGGCGGCGACCCCGGCTCGAGGTGGCCGGTTGCTGCTCCTGTTGGCCCTCGCCACAGCTCGTTCCCTTGAGGAGGGCCAGTGGAGACAACGGCGACCCTGCCGCCTGGCCCAAAACCGCCTCTCGACGCGGATACAGCCGTGGCGAGGAGGGCCTCCGGGACTCCAAGGAGGCCCACACAAGGACGGAAAGCGCCGGGGAGGGCCGTCGGTTCTCTCGACTCCCCCGACCTTCGTCGAACGCACTCCCTTCCAAATCGTTTCGGGGATCCCGCCAGGACTGCACCCTGACCAACATTTCGAGTCGTGCCCAGCCGCGCCGTGGAGAACAGCGCCAAGAACCATCACGAGAACCTCCGAAGCACAGACGCCGACCTCGATCCGATCCTTGGCCGTGGCTTCTACGCCCTTTCCGTCTCAACGTCAGTCGCAACCGAGGATGATCGGGGATGGACAGACCCCCCTTTAGTAAAACGTGGTTTAGTGAAAACGACCTGAGGCCCAAATTTGGCGGGCGCAAGCCTGGAAAATAAGGGCCACGGCGCCCTCTCGAGAACCGAAAACGGACAATTCACTAATCGACGTGTCACTGTTGGGGGTTCTGTCCACCCCCGAGATGACAGGGGAGGGGACTGGCTCGGGGATGGGCAACCTCGAGCTGGAAGGGTCGACGCGTCGCCGCCCAGAACTCGGCGAGGGAGGCCCGATGGCGGATCGCCCCACGGCGGCTCTCCGCGCGCTCCTGGGCAGGGGGGTGGGCCCTCGGGCCCCCCCCGGCGATCGGAGGGCGAGGGGTGGCCGATGCAGAGCCGCCCGGAGCTGGAAGCGTGAGGCAAGGAGGCTTTGACGGCAGATGGGGCTCGCCCGCCCCGCGAAGAGACAGGAAGTGGGCACACGCCGCCCTGCTCTCGGAACAGGTATCGCGCCTCAGCCGGACTGCAACCCTGGAATCCAAAACGATACAGCGTCGGCGAGCCACGGGCAACGCTGCCCCTGACCATGTCGATCGCGACCACGACATCCGACGAAATAGTCGTAATGTTTCCACTGCGCAGCCCCAGGAGGTCCCGACCCTGTCTCCGGAAGTAATCCTTCCCCCCGGATCCGTATTGGATGGTCCTGCAAACCGGAAACGGGCCCCAGAGCCCGAAATCAATGAAAAGCGCCAGCGTTGAACAAAAATCATGTCGCGCTTCGATCGCACCGAGGAGCCCTGCGACAAGGCCAGCGCTGCCGCACCCGCCGACGCGGCGCGCCTCGATCCTCGATCCTTGCCCGTCGGCCCGTCTCCATCCACGACCTCGATCCTCCACCCTCCATCCCCGACCCTTACCAACACGCAAAACGAAGAAATCGATCATCGATGCTCATCGTTTTTTTCCACACGAAACTCCATGGGTGGCAACACCACATCGCGAATCAAAAGGTCACTAGGCGAACCGCGAACACCTCAGAAGCCGACCTGCAGTAGACACACTCATACTATGCACCTCCGGCCTTGACCACATCGACAATGCAACTGCTCTGCATGCGAGTGGATCTCCCCCGAGGCCCGAACGGCAAGCGATATCCCATGTGAGCGCTTCCTTGTTCGGCGTTTCAACATTGGGCGGAAGGGGGGGGAGGGGGGCTGTCTGGCTCCGGACCTCTGCTTAGTGCGGCTGTGTGCAGCAGTGCGTCCTATGGCGGAGGGCCTCCACCTGCTAAAGACAGGCGCCAAAAACAGCAACGACCTACTCCAGATGGGGGGGGGGAGGGAGGGTGCGAGGGCCCGCGGCCATCGGCAAAACAATGAATCGTAAGTCAATCACAATCGATCCTCGTCATTCGTACCGCTTCCATCTCTAGGGGAACAAAAAGTGACATAAACATAAAAACTCCGAAGTCCGCGCGGATTTCTCGGATCGGCGCTGGGGCCCCCCGGCAGCGCCTCCTGCGCCGCCCCTGGCGCGCTCCGCGCGCCAGGAAGAGGGGTCCAGGGCCGATCCGAGAAATCCGCGCGGACCTCCGAGTTTTTATGTTTATGCCACTTTTTGTTCCCCTAATCTCGATCGCACCGATGAGCCCTGCGACGAGGCCAGCGCTGCCGCGCCCATCGACGCCGCGTGCCTCTCCGCCGCCTGCAGCCCGGCGCCGGCGGCGCCCAGCGCCGCCGCTGCGGCCGCGGGGTCCTCGTGCCCAGCTGTGCTTCGCACTGCTTCTGAGCACTCGCAGCGAGCCCTGTGGCAGCGAGAGGAGGAGGAGGAGGAGGAGGAGGAGGAGGAGGAGGAGGAGGAGGAGGAGGAAGAGCAGGAAGGGGAGAGGCGGAAGCACCCTTGCGGAGGGAGGATGAGGAGAAAGGTGGCACGCTTTGACAGAAGCGCTGGACGCCGTTGCGTTGGCTACAGCTCGGAGGACGACCCAACGTCCTCAAATCTCCGACGATCTTTTTTTCAACTGACAATCTCCCTTGATGTCGGCCCTGGGGGGTTGCCGGCATCTGGCCCCGGGGACAGTGAAAATGGATCCGGGAAGGATAACTATCTGCAGGGGGACGGGATCTCTGGAGCCGCGCATGGGAAACAAACAACAATTGGTCGGATGTGTGGGCATTATCCTCACATACGGACGGCCGGGTCTTCGACGTTTTCGGCCTCTGGGAACTGGTTCCAGGCCCCGGGACCCTCACAAAAGACGACTGCAGGGTGAAGACCTTGCCCAATGGTTGAGAGGTCCAGGGATCCACGCATTGAGAAAATCCAAGCGGTGGATGTCTGCGCTTACTAGCTCGGGGGACGATGCAGTAGAAGTGCGCCCATGCTGGAGGATCAGGGGGAGTCCCCGAGCCAGCTTCCCACCCAAGACATCCAACGATGTTTTTTTCGATCCGCGGCCCTAGAGCTCCCGACCCCTTCCCTGGGGACACTGTGTCACCCAAGATCAGCTTTTGATGGTCCAAAGGCCCGAAGACTGCCCCTGAGGCCAAAGCGGTAAAAAAAAATCACGATTGGACTACGAGTGCCCCCACATGCCCCCTCAGACTAGAGACCAGATGCCCCCCCACCGAACTGTAAGTGCACCACACCTTCTACGAGTCCCCCTCCAATGCCACACCATACTGCGTGTTTCCCTCGACTGTCAGCGCCGCCCCGGGATGACAGGTGCCCCGGGAACTCCCGAGGGGCACGCGCATTGGCCCATCCGAGCTGCAACAGCGCGCGAAGACATCCCCGACATCGGCAGGGCTCGGAGAGACCGGGGCGGCAGGCACGGCAAGGTCTCGGAGCCCCTCACAGCCCCCCGAGCTTCGTCACCAGAGTCCGCGCCCTGCCCCCACAAAAACACCGACGCGTGCGCCCCGAACACGTTGGGGCTCGGCCGACAAGCTCCCGCGCCCGACCACACAGCTTCTCCTGCTGCGGATGAGACGGCGGGGACAGACATTGAGCAATCTTGCTGACAAGAAGCCAGCGGGTGCATTGCTCGGTGGACCTCCGACCCCGCACGATGCGCCCAGACCTCCAACGGGTGTCCGGGGACGTCGGGGAATAAGACATTTCCGAGGGGCACGTGCTGGCAGCCAAATTCATTATTTGGTGTACCTATTGCATCTCGCAAGAGGGAGCAATGTTTGGTCATCGGCCGCGGACGCAGCCAGAGTTGGTCGGCTAGCATGTGGCACACGCCAGCGAGCTGGGCCCGATGCAAGACAAGAGACAGGCAGGGGTGTAGCTCAAGAAGCGGCATGCACCAGCGCCACGTTTTCTCCCAGATGTCCTGCTGCAGCTTGCTGCTAAGCGCCAAGCTCTGAATATATACTCAAGGGGAAGGAGCGCCGAACGCCAATCACCCTCCGACCTGACACTGGTTCTCAGACCTAGAGCAATACAACGACTAACGCGCTGTGCCTGCACGGTGGGGCAGCACACAGCCAAATCGTTGAACTTTAGGAGGACAAGGAGCAGGAGAATGATGAGAGGCCGCCCTCGTCCTGAATTTCTAATTGGCTGAATACCTTCCTCATTGCCCCTCATCGTCATTCCTTACTTGTCTGTCATCCTCCTGCTCATGCTCCCTCTCCTTCTGCTCTCTGTCATCCTCCATCCTCCATGAGAAACCACCACCCTCGTCATCTTCATACAGCCACCACTCCTCCTCCCTCCTCCCTCCCTTTCTACTCATTTCTGCCCGTCCGGTTCCACACTCTCAGCCTCCTCCTCCTCCTCCTCCTCTTCCTCCTCCTCCTCGTCCTGCGACTCCTCCTCATCATCATCCACCTTCTCCTACGGCTCGACCCCCGCTTCACATCGCCCATCCTGTTCCTCCTGACCCCTATCCTCCTGCCCGCCCCCCCCCCAAGAAACCCAAATGCACCCATCTACACACCAGACCTCTCCCCGAGCGCGTCCCGAGTAGGATTTCTCGGGGCGAATCCAGCTGTGGCAGCGAGGGCCTCCAAGATGCCCCAAGAAGGCGGCGGTTTTGGAAACGTTTTTCTCCTCTGACCCCCTCCTCCATTCCCCCTCCTCCTCCCTTGATCCGACGTCACACACAAATTCCAACATCGTCAACCACTACACAATTACACAGGAAAAAAACAACAATCAGTGGATAGTCCGAATGCTTTGCAAGCGCCATGCCGGGCCGCAGTTTCGCAAGAGGGCCCTCAGAGGCTAACTCATTGATTGCCCTTGCGTGTTGGAAGGGTTGTGGCAACCTCGCCATTTCGGGCATCCGTCGGCTCAAAATGGCCTAGGAGGCCTCCAACATTGCGTCAGGGCGGCGCACGAGGGGCCCAAGATGACCCAGGGGGGCCTCCAGAGGTACCCTCGACGGCCTGAGAGGGCCCCTCGACGATTCAAGGAGGCCACATCACGTCCCCACAACAGCCCGGAAAAACACATCAGCATCAGCAAGAGAGAAAGAAAAAGAAAGAAAACGGGCGCCCACAGACAGCCGCCCACCGATAGTCGACCACCGAAATCGGCCTCCTACTTTCGCCAATCTCTTGAGGCTGCGCCCATCAAACGCCGCCCACCGAGAGCCGCCCACCGAAATCCGCCCGCTACTTTCGACAATCTCTTCTATGTCCGCTGGGACCCCTTCAGTGTAATGACCGCTAGGACCCCTTCAATGTAAACACTGAATAGGGAAAAACCCCTGGACCCTATCTTTCTGCTGCATTTCCCGAGCCAGATCGATCCGTGAGGGTCCCAAGGGCCAGAAATGGGGACGAAATCGCCCGCTGCGAAATACATGCGGTGCCAAGCTCTCAGGGGTTGCCCCTGAGCCGTACACCCACTCTTGGACGCCATCGGCACGGTTTTCGAGGCCTCCGGCGGCCGTCTGGGACGATCCGGGCACGCCCGAGCGAGGGGCAGCTGCCGAAGGCACCTCAAGGCTGGAAAGCCGCCGAGAACCAACAGAAACGCTAGAAAATCTCGAACTTCGAACCTCGAACTTAAAACCTCTCGCTGGCGCCCGCCCGCCTTCCCGCCAGCTTCTCGGCGGCGCGCCTGGGGGGAAGTGACAGGGGGCAGGCCTCCCCGGATCGGGCGTTGGCAGAACTGGGTTTAGTGGGACCTGGTTTAGTGATGTGTACTGGGGGACGCCCCCCCCGCCCTTTTCCACTGACTGGAACTGCCGTCACCCGAAAAAACACCAGCTGCGGCAGACCTGGTTTGGTGATTCTGGCCAATTTAGGGGCTCCGGGGCCCTACCACTAACCGGATCCCCTTACCTGGGGTCCTGGCTATACCCGACCGGAAGGCGGCGAGGCTTCTCCAAGGCCCACCCGCCCTCTGAGAAGCCGCCTCTGTCTCCGGGCAGGGCTCGGAACACTTCGTGGAAGGCCCGAGGCTCTCTTACGAGCTCGGGGGCGCGCAAACAGGGATTAGCGATCCATGGATTTGGCGCGCGGTCGCCAAATCCATGGATCGGGGGAGGTGCCCTCCCCAACATGCGGCCGGTGCCGCCTCGCTCGGCGGCGGAAATGCGCGGTGTCCGATGGAAGCGGGACCCGTCGCTAATCCGCGCCCCCCTTGATGCCTGTTTGCGGTCGCCTGGCTCTCACTTCCCCCCCCCTGGGCTCGCCGCCGAATCTCGCCGTCCCGTCCCCGCGGCGCCAACGTGTCCTCGGTGGACGGCCCAGGGTCGTCCTCGCCCGGCGCCGCGGCCGCGGCGGCGGCGGCCGCCTGCGATGCGGCAGCCTCCTGTGGCGGAGGAGCGGCAGGAAGACCGGAGCGAAGATCGAAGGTCTCCGACGACGACTGGGATGACTGTGGCGATTGCTGCGGGGACGGGGGGCTCAGAAGCAGATGCTGAGGTGGGCTGTATCTGGCCAGCGTAACCTGCGGTAAGGGCCTTGGATGAGGGACCCTTGGGTCAGGAACCCAGGGTCAGGAAGCCTGTGGAACTTCGATCGTGGATTGGCCATGGATATCGCAGCCGCCCTCACTGGGTAAGGATTCCTCCAGGGTCTGAAGCCTCCTGGGCGCATTCCTTAACCAAAGCCCCCACCGTAGCTTGTAGCACATGGGCTGCAAACGCCCTAACTTTATTACAGGGGTTGGTAATCTGGGCGATGCGGACTCCGCCTGAATAGCGAGGTGATCAAACCACCCGTAAACCAAGCAGGGCACCTGCAACCCACTTCTGAGACTCACAAGCCAGGTTTGGCCAGAACTAACCCACCTCAGTACCCCTTTCTGACCCCCTATCTCCTTAGCAACCGCCACCAGGGCTCGAATTAAACAGTGTTTTCCGTTTTCGTTTTGTTTTCGTCATCCCCAGTTCTGTCTTCGCTCCACATTTGCTGCAAGACGACGTCACAACGAAAACGGTCCACGACATTGCCAAACCACAGTTTAGCTCGAGCCCTGACCGCCGCGGCCATCTCGGGACGAGGAGAAGGGGGAGGGGGAGGAGGAGGAGGAGGAGGAGGGGGAGGGAGAGGAGGAGGAGGAGGAGGAGGAGGAGGAGGAGGAGAAGAGGAAGGAGGAGGAGGAGGAGGAGGGGGAGGGGGAGGAGGAGGAGGAGGAGGAGGAGGAGGAGGGAGGAGGAGGAGGAGGAGGAGGGAGGAGGAGGAGGAGGAGGAGGAGGAGGAGGAGGGGAGGAGGAGGAGGAGGAGGAACGAGCGAGCGAGCGACCTCGGCAGCAGTTCGGCTTCGATGCACGGGGCTCGGGCCTGGGAAGATTGGGCGCCTGTCGGCGTCCTGCGTTGCTGCTGGTACTGTCAATGGGCGAAGCGGTAGGGCGCCTGAGGGAGCCCGCGGGGGCCTAAAAAGCCTTGGGCCCCTCGTCGGCCCTAGACCGTCTCAAACCTCCGAATTAGAGCAAAATGAGAAGGCGAAACGCTGGGCTCAACCCTCCCAACCTGCATTCAGATATGTAGGTACATGCTTAGTGGACGCTCAGGGCACGATCAGCAAATAATTATGCGCATCGCGTGCTCACTGTGCCGTGCTAGGTACGACATACATGTGTGAGACACTGAACGTTATGCTACATCACGGTGCAATGTTGCCGCGCTCACATGCCCCAAAGTGCAGGAATCCTGGCCGAAGAATTCCAGGCTGAACGGAGACGAGACCGTCCTGGGCGAGAAAAGTGGCGCAGCTCGATCCTGACGGGCAAAGCTAAATCCACCCCGCACGCCTGAGCGCAGGCTGAATACACTCTAGAGGCAAAGGAACGAGACCTCAGGCACAGCTCTGTGGTCCGTACTCGATCGGCAGCACGCTGCCGCACCTCCGAGCCCGGAACTTCACCTACTCCACAAAGGGTCCAGCAAACTTCCCAAGATCAGGAGTGGTCCCGTGGAGCTCGAAGGTGCCAGAAGTGAGCAGGGGTACAGTGCACACTGAAGCAAGTTATGGCGAGAGCCAGGTGGGTATGTACACTCGGATCCACTGATACCAGTGGTAGCTGGGTGAGTGGCTGGTGTAGGTGGGGCTATGCGCGGGGCACATCACCCCACCGCCTTCACAGGAGCCGAAGCTGCCGGAGATACTCGTCACAGCCACCAGCTGCATTAATAATATTCCATCCAACCAAGTAGCGTCTGTAAATATTGTCAAAGCCAGTACCCGTGATGATACTGGCGAAGCATCTCCCATGAATTTATACGCACTCTGCACCTTTGAAGAATGATGCTGACGTTCCATCTCCCATGCAGTGATACAAATTCATATCCGCTGAAATTACAGACCCATATCTGCAGCTTGTACTAATTCGGCTGGTTCTTGGGCGTGTACGCGGCCTTGGAACGAAAAAAGGGGATGAGGTCCCCACATATAGGCATAACATCTTGATTACCAAAATAACGATAGCTTCGAGGATGTTTTTTCGTTGGGCCCGGCAACTCCAATCGCACTAGTCCTCGCACTAGACCTTCTAAGAAGGCAACCGCGATATGAATGGGGGGGCTGCCAGGGTCCTTCTCGCCTGCCTTCACCTTCTCGGCGTAGGCTGTCCCCATCTCCGTGCCCTTGTCCGTCGCCTCGTTCCCTGGCATCAGGTACCCTTTTGTGGCCTCGTCGGCGGTCATATGGTGTTTTATGCCGAATACGAAGCGCTTCTTTTGTCTTCGTCCCGTGCCAGAGCGCCCAGCCGCGACGCTTCCATGCACGCTCGAGCTGTTCAGCTGTATCTGCTCGTCGTTCACGAATATGCCGTCGTCGCGCCTCTTGGAGCTCTCGTGTAGTAGTGCCTATGCGCTTGCACACTCCGTCGTATTTGGACTGATGTGAGTCGTCCTGGTCATATGCTTTGCTGCCATCTCGTCCCATCTGCTCCCGTAGTGCTGCTCGCTGCTTTGTGAGGTCGATTATATTTTTCCTCCTGTGTTCATACTGTTCAGATGGTTGCTCGCCAGGCGGAAAATATTGAGCTAAACTTTTCTGACTGCACGCGTTCAGTAGATCCCAGCCAGCCTGCACATTTCCACGGTCCCAGATTTCTCTCCAAGTGTCCTCTAGGATCGCCGCTGTGTTCTTGTCGAGCTCCTTCAGGTAGTTGATACGCAGGTGGCCGTGCACGTAGGCGCCCATAGTATAGCTTCGATTGGCCACGTGGTGATGCGAGCCCTTGTGCGCCATCTTTTTTCTTATATCCAGCTCAGGAAGAAAAGGTACCTGGTCCTGTTGTAAGGTCGTGACTCTGCGCTGCAATCGCCGAGCCAGCTGTCGTAAAGTCTTTATAGTTCCTTTGCGCTCCTGGGACTCTGTCAGTATGATGTAGTGGTCGATATTGCTGCTGGCAATGCCGTTGAAGTAGGCGGTTGGCCTTGTGTCCCAGAAACTAGTTGCCAATGTCATGTGTTTTTTCTTCCATGGCGTCCCGTACCAGCTGGGAAACTATAGTTCCCACGCCAGGGTTCTTCAGCCCTACAATATGATCAGCTCGATCGTACTTCTTTCGTCTTGTGTCGATCCGCCATCTGCCAAACAAGCAATTAAGATTTCCCCCCATGATGACGAGACGCTGATGATCGTGTTTGTCGACGGTCTTTGTGAACCGAGTCATGCATTTGCCCACGGCCTCCTCTCGAATGGATGTTGTGGTCCCTTTGGAAGGCAAGTACACGAGAAAGAAAGCGACCGTACTGGCTCCGATGCGAAATTTTGTCTTGGCGATGCGCCCAGCGATGCCTTCGGAGCGAGGTGGAAACTGCGTCTGCTGGAGGGCGCTTTTCAACGCCGAGTTGAAAAATACTGCTGCTTGTCCACATGAACAAAGTGACCGTCTTGAGTTACGAGAGCTATATTGAATGCGCGTGTGTTCCGGCAAGTTTGTCTTTAACGCGTCCTCGTCTTTCATGGCGGCGCGCCCCGCGCCATTGAGCATCAATGCGTCTACCGTCGGCGTGAGGGTCGATATCTCCTCTATTATGGTGTGATCTTTCCATTCCGCATTATGAGCGAGAACACGCAACACCATGATGAGAAGGATTCCTGCGGGTGGAGGTGAGGAAGGGTAGGAACAGCAGGCCAGCCTAGGCCTACCGCCCCGCATGCTATTGACCTCCACCCATGGGATGTACGGTGTGGCAGGTGTGGTAGGAGCTCCTGCTGTGCTGAGAGCCATAGCAGCTCCAGGAGGAGGAGGAGGAGGAGGAGGAGGGCAACGGCGATCTGAGGACACCAAGGGACCGATGCCGCTCCGCTGCTCCTCCTGGGGAGCCCCCGCCGCCACGGCTGGAGAAGAGCCTACGTCGCGCCCTGCTCGGGCAGCTGCGCGCGGATGACAGTCAAAAAACTAGCACCAGGAGGACGGTCAGAGTGAGAGCGGGCCGAACGGTCATTCACTGGGTGCGTGGCTGAAGTGGGGATCCGTGGTGAGGATTCTGCTTGCTGTGTTGTTGTTGTTGTTGTTGTTGCTGTTTGTCTGTTGTCGTCGTCCCGCCCGCGACCCACCCCGCGACCCCACACGCGACCCACCCCGCCACCCACCCCGCGACCCACCCCGCGACCCACCCCGCGACCCACCCCGCGACCCACCCCGCGACCCACCCCGCGACCCATCCGCGACCCACCCGCGACCCAACAACGACCCACCCGCGACCCACCCCGCGACCCACCCGCGACCCACCCCGCGACTCACCCGCGACCCAACAGCGACCCAGCCGCGACCCATTTGCGACCCACCCGCGACCTACCCACAGTGGTTTAACGAAACAAATCGGCGCCTGCGGCGGGCTCGTTATAAAGTTGTGAAACGTTGGCGCCTGCAGCGGGCTTCTCCAGAGTTTCGCAGACTGCCGACGTCCCCACCGCCACCTCACTCTTATCCGCATCTGCGAAGTGCTACGTAAGTATTACCAGATACGCTCCTGATATCATTAAACCGCAACCTGAGCGTCGCAATGATTACCCAACGTTGGTTTTGGCATACCGCTCTTGCAATGCAAGCGCTGAGAAACAGCTCCTGGGTGACGTCAATGACAGAATGGGCTTTGGCTCAGCCAGGAAACCAAGACATTATGGGAGAATCGGATTGGGAACGTTGTGCGCAACACGAAGTGGATCAACCTACTCGAGACTTGGTGGTACAATTCCATGCGGCTGACCACCTTCAGGTTGTTCACACTTGTATGCAGCAGCTGCTAGAGGAGAACCGATGCATGGAGGCATGGGCATCGCCAGCAGACGCAGCTTCTTGAGAAAAGTTCAACATGCTGGATTTGTTCTTGTGCAACGCCCCTGGGCGAACGCACAGTGCTTTGCTGGAGTGCCGCCGAGAAGCAGCCCTCAATAATCACTAGTTGGTGATTGCTACACTTGCGATGCTAAAATGTGCCCTAACACCATATGCAAAAAACGTGTGGGCAGACCTAAGCCAAAAGTTACCGACCGAACTCGGACCCCTGACTTTGCCCCCGGCTTTCGCGTCATAGCTCGGGTCTCCGTGGTCGCGTGAGACGATCCAGGCACCCCCAGAACGCCCTCGGCGAGGCACAGCTGCTGGAAAGTACCCTGGAGCGGGATGACCGCCGAGAACAGTCGAAAACGTCCGAAAACCTCAGACACCGAGCCCGACAACCTCGACCCTCGAACCCGCACTTACACAAAAACACACACGCACGCACGCACGCACGCACGCACACGCACACACACGCACACGCACACACACACACACACACACACACACACACACACACACACACTAACACACACAAACACACACACACACACACACACTCACTCACACGCACACACACACACACACAACAAAAACACACTCACACACCACAAACACACCACTGCGTCCTCGGCCGCCTCGGCGTCCGACGCCTCGGCCGCCTCCAGCTCCTGCTCTCCGCCGCCGAGCCAGGCCCGCCCAGCCTGCTGCGCCGTGCCGGGGGGGGGGGGGGGGGGGTCGCCCGCTCGCCGCCGCCGCCGAGGACAGAGATTTGCTGGACCATCCCAAACATCATCAACCTGTGAAAGAATCCCACGGCGCAAGGTTTCGGCAAATTGTCTGTCTCCAGGTGCCCTCACTGGGCCCCGGGACCGTCAAGAAACGACTCGGGATGGAAAACCCGTCCCGGGAATGGGGCAAGTGCAGACCGAAGCCGCCGCCGAGGATAGCTATCCTGGGGCTTCTCCCGTGGAATCCTACCGTTGCATTTTTTAACGCAGCGGGCGATGTCTCATTGCTTCCGGGCCTGGGACCCTCACTGATCGACACGGCTCGAAAATTGTGCAGAAGATGTGTCAAGGCTTCCGCCCAGGTTACTGTTTGCTTGCGATGTTGCGTTTTTGTTCGCGACGTCGGATCTCAGGGTCGTCGCCAGAGCTCGGGGGTTGCCAGCCCAACTCTCTGCACCCTTCGGCAGCCCCATCCGGTGTCCCCTGGGCCTCGCGACAGAGAGCTTTGTCTGGAGGACGTGGAGGCCTCCCCTCGAGGAGAGGATCGACTACACAATGGCTTTACCCCGAAATCGATTTTCCCGGTCGAATCCCAAAATGATGGAGGATGAGCAAAACACATGAAAAACCAATTCGGCAATTGATCCCCGACTCGATCCCTGGAGACCCTGGGGGCACCTCGGGCCTGGCACCCCGCCGCCGCCGCCGACGTCAGCGTCGTCGTCGACGTTGTCGTCGCCGTCGTCGTCGAAGATCTTTGTTCGAGGGTCGAAGATCACGGTCATAGGCCCTCTTTGGATCTCTCGTGGGTTCCCCCCTGTCGCAATGACTAGATCCCCTTCGGAACGCGAACCGGCACAAACCAAGACATCCGACGATGTGATTTTTACAGCGCGCGGCCCCAGAGGTCACGACCGCACCCCTTCCATGGGGTGTCCCGCCCCTGATCCATAAATGCACGAAAACGAGCCCCGCGGGGCCGAAATCAGGAACAACCCCGCCCGATAAAAAAATCAGATCGTCAAAACCTGCAGGCACGAGTGTGCCGGGTGCCTGTCCTGGACCACAGAACGGAAGGGGTGAAGGGAGGGGGGGGAGGCAAGCCAGGTGCGCAAGCGTCATAATTGACGTCCTACCCCTCTCTCTCATCCACTATCTGCGTAGATCTGGGCAATGACCCATGGAACAACATGGTACAATATGGAATAGAAGAGCGCCGACGTCGTCGCGTCGAGGACGCGATTCATGTCGACAACAAAGTCACAAGGAAACCAGCACTGACTCAGGACGGGGAATTGAAATGGACGGTTTGGAAAGTGGGAAGAGCAAAATGACATCTGCGTTGCAGCGGGAACACGATGTCGAAGGACCAAAACCGCGGAAAGGAAACCATTGCTGCAGCGAAAATGCGATTTGGAAAGACCGAAGCGCGGAACCGAAACCAATGCTGCAGTAATAGCACGGTTTGGGGAACAACAAAGAACTATGAACCGAGGCCAGCGCTGCAGCAGGCACATGATTTTCGGAACGACGGGAAATGCAAAAAACGCTGTAGCGGGAGCACCAGCTTGAAAGGACTGAGCATTGTTCGGATGGGAAAGCACAAAATAATGTTAAATTCGGCGGGATGATGTGCAACAAATCAATACGCGGAGGAAGCCAAGACACCTCACCAGCGTTTTCGGGTGAGAAAGGAGAGTCGTATTCATATTGTGTCTCTGTTGAAAGGAACTACTCCTTGTCGTACTTTGTTTCTCCTCGTCGCGCCCTCGCGTTTCCTCCCAGCCCTCTTTCCCCCTTTTTATCCCCATTCCCCCACGTGCTCAGCGCTGAGAGCTGAGCACCAGATGCCCCTCGACGACCACCGCCGAACATCCGACGACCAACGGGCCGCTGCCCTCCAGCAGGCATGCGCTCAAAATGTCCCCCCGGGTCGCCTCCCTCAGTCCACCCCGGCCACCTTCTCGAGCCGCGCCCAGTCGCGGCGGCGAGAGCCTCCAGCCAACGACCCCGAACCCCGCGAAGCGACGCCGACGACGGCGACGGCCAGCCACGAAAATCTGCCCCCGGGGCCCCTCCCTGAGTCCGTTCTCGCCAGCTTCAGGAGCCGCTCCTGGCAGCGGCAACTAGAAGCTCCAGCAAACGCCGCGAAAGGCCTCCGACACGACGGCCGGCGGCCGACGACAACCGACGAGCACCCGATGGCTGAAGAGCCCCTCCGATTATGTTAGCTTACGATTATCTTTTAAAAAAGGGGGGGGGCACGCAATTTAACGAATGTCACCCCTGCTCGGGCGAATCGCGCGGGGGGGCGCCCGCTAAGTGGAAACACGCGGCGGTGGCGCTGGCGATAAACGCCGACGCCCGGCCACCAGCGAGAGGGCGACAGGCGCGACACAAGCGGCGCCGCTTCAGCGGAGGGGGACAGCAGCGCCTCCGGTACAGCGGGGCGTTTGGGCCAAACTTGCTGCAGACAGCAGAGAGAGAGGAGGCGGGGAGAGGAGGTGCTTCAGCTGGCGGGCGGTGCTCGTATGGCTGCAGACAGGAAGGGGAGACGAAGGGATGAGCGGCAGAGGCAGGCGCGAAGGGCTCCTCCTTCTCCTTGTTCCACGCCTCCTTCACCCCCGCCACCACAGTATGTCGTGCGATGACGACGACGGCGACGACGACGACGGCGACACGGCGACGGCGACACGGCGACGGCGACACCGACGGCGGACGACGACGCACTGTGGATGCTCCATGGTGTGAGTGTGCTGCGCGTGCCCGATGTAATCGATGACGACGGCGACGACGTCAACAACGACGACGACGACCACGACGACGGCGGCGACCACGACGACGTCGTCGACGCACTGAGGATGCTCCATGGAGGGGGGCTTCGTAGGTCCGCTGCAGTTGCTCATGCTATGCTATTGGGTCAATGGTTCACATCCCCCCACAAATAAGTTCCAAGGTTGTTCCACAGACCCCCCTCCCTGATGGAATCGGGGGGGGGTACAACGACGACGACGACGAACGACGACGACGACGTCGACGACGACAACGACGCAGACGACGACGACGAAGACGACGAACACGACGACGATGACGATGACGATGACGATGACGATGACGATGACGATGACGACGACGACGACGATTGTGGCACGTCAGCAATCTGGATGTCAACGATCCCTATGACAACTTCTATACGAAGGCCAATCGTTCAGAGGCTCCCGTGCCCGAGGGTACGCGATCCCCTGCCCGCGACGACCCCCTGGCGCGCGTGATTACAAAAACTGTTTCTCGCCCCGCGGGGTCTATCATCAGCCCCAGAAGGGGTGGCATCATCGACTTATCACATGCTGACACTACTATCTTGCGCAGTGATTTTCTAGAGATCGGACCTCTTTATTTTCGTTCGTGGTTCGTCGTCGTCCCCCTGGCTCTGGCCCATCTCCGCTGGGCCCCCAACTTAGACCTCTAGCCTCTGGTCCCAGTCCCAACCCCGTCGCCCTGGCCCTGGACCCAGCCTCCCGACGGGCCCTGGTCCCAGCCCCAGCTCCGTGGCCCTGGCCCTGGCCCTGGACCCAGCCTCCCGCCTGGCCCTGGACCTAGACCGAGCCTCCGTTCTGACCCTGGTCCCAGCACTCCTCGACTCGGACCCATTATTAGCTTGCACAGCTGTGCTCTAGAGCTCGGACCTCTGTATTTCGTTCGTTCGTCCTCGTCCCTGGTGCGGTCCTGGCCCTAGGCCCAATCTCCCCCCTGGTCCTGGCCCCACCCCCCTCGCCCCGCTGGCGGCCCTGGACCCAGCCTCCCCCCCCCCCGGCCCTGGCCCCAGCCCCCCTCGCCCTGGACCCTTTATTTTCGTTCGCTCGTCGTCGTCCATGGTCCGGTCCTGGCCCTGGACCCGATCTCCCCCCTGGTCCTGGCCCCCCTCGCCCCGCTGGCCCTGGCCCTGGACCTAGCATCCCCACCCCCGGCCCTGGCCCCAGCCCCCCTCGCCCTGGACACATTATTTTCGTTCGTTCGTCGTCGTCCCTGGTCGGGTCCTGGCCCTGTCCCCCCCTGGTCCTGGCCCTAGCCCCCTTCGCCCCGCTGGCCCTGGACCCAGCCTCCCTCCCCCCCCGCCCTGGCCCCAGCCCTCCTCGCCCTGGACTCTTTATTTTCGTTCGCTCGTCGTCGTCCCTGGTCGGGTCCTGGCCCTGCACCCGACCTCCCCCCGGGTCCTGGCCCCAGCCCCCCTCGCCCCGCCGGCCCAGGCCCTGGACCCAGCCTCGCCCCCCCCCTCGCCCTGGCTCCTTTATAATTTTCGTTCGTCGTCGCCCCTGGTCCAGTCCTGATTCGCTCGTCGTCGCCCCTCTGGTCCTGGCCCTGGACCCAGCCTCCTCCCCCAGCCCTGGCCCCAGCCCCCCTCGCCCTGGCGTCGTCGTCCCCCTGGCTCTGGCCTGCTTCCCCTGGCCCCCTCGCCCCGGTCCTCCTGCCCTGGCCCTGGACCCAGCCTCCCTCCTTGGCTCTGCGGTCCCCTGGCCCTGGCTCCAGCCTCCTCGCCCCGGACCCTTTATTCTCTTGCACAGCTGTGCTCTAGAGCTCGGACATCTTTATTTTCGTCGTTCGTCGTGTCGTTCGTCCCCCTCGCCCCCCCCGTCCACGCTTCCCAGGGTAGCCCCCCTGGGCCACGGAACCCTTTATTTTCGTCGTTCGTCGTGTCGTTCGTCCCCCTCGCCCCCCCCCCGTCCCCCTCGCCCCTCCCCCTGTCCACGCTTCCCAGGGTACCCCTCGCCCCCCCCCCCTGTCCACGCTTCCCAGGGTAGCCCCCCTGGGCCACGGAACCCTTTATTTTCGTCGTTCGTCGTGTCGTTCGTCCCCCTCGCCCCCCTCCCGCCCCCCTCGCCCCCCCCCTGTCCACGCTTCCCAGGGTACCCCTCGCCCCCCCCCCCTGTCCACGCTTCCCAGGGTAGCCCCCCTGGGCCACGGAACCCTTTATTTTCGTCGTTCGTCGTGTCGTTCGTCCCCCTCGCCCCCCCCCTGTCCACGCTTCCCAGGGTAGCCCCCCTGGGCCACGGAACCCTTTATTTTCGTCGTTCGTCGTGTCGTTCGTCCCCCTCGCCCCCCCCCCGTCCCCCTCGCCCCCCCCCCCCCCTGTCCACGCTTCCCAGGGTACCCCTCGCCCCCCCCCCCGCCCAGGCTTCCCAGGGCAGCCCCCCTGAGCCTCGGACACCTTTGTGCAAGAGCCAGGGCACGCGTGCCACTTGTTTTCGTCGTTCGTCGTCGTCCTGGCTCTGGCCTGCTTCCCCTGGCCCCCTCACCCCCGCCCTCCTGCCCTGGCCCACCCAGCCTCCCTCCTTGCCTCTGGCGCCCCCCCCTCGCCCCAGACCCTTTATTTTCGTGGTTCGTCGTCGTCCCCCTGGCTCTGGCCTGCTTCCCCTGGCCCCCTCGCCCCGGTCCTCCTGCCCTGGCCCTGAACCCAGCCTCCCTCCTTGGCTCCGGCGCCCCCCCTCGCCCCAGACCCTTTATTTTCGTGGTCCGTCCTGGCTTTGGCCTGCTTCCCCTGGCCCCCTTGCCCCCGTCCTCCTGCCCTGGCCCTGGGCCCAGCCTCCCTCCTTGCCTCTGGCGCCCCCTGGCCCTGGCCCCAGCCCCTCGCCCCAGCCTTTTTATTTTCGTGGTTCGTGGTTTGTCGTCGTCCCCCTGGCTGTGGCCCGCCCCCCCTCGCCCCCTCGCCCCAGCCAGGACCTCTGGCCTCTGGTTCGAGCCCCAGCCCTCTGGCCCTAGCTGAACTCAGCTTGTTTCCTGGCCTTGGCCCCACTCGCCCCGACCTGGCCTTCGCCCCAGCCCTCCTCGCCCCGGACCGTGTACTTTCGTGGTTCGAACCCGGACCTCTGGCCCCTGGTCCGAGCTTCAGTCCCCCTGCCCTGGCCCTGGACCCCAACTCGCCCCGACCCTGGCCTTGGCCCCAGCCCTCCTCGCCCCAGACATTTTATTTTCGTGGTTCCGTCCCCCTGGCTCTGGCCCCCATCCCCTGGCCCTCTCGCCCCCCCCTCGCCCCTCCTCCTCCTCCTCCTCCTCCTCCTCCTCCTCCTCTTCCTCCTCCTCTTCCTCCTCCTCCTCCTCCTCCTCCTCCTCTTCCTCCTCCTCTTTGTCTCCTCAAATGTGCAAGAGCCAGGGCAAGCGTGCCACTTGTTTTCGTTCGTGATTCGTTCGTGGTTCGTCGTCGTCCCGCTGGCTCTGGCCCCTCTCCACCGAGTCCCTCGCTCCCTAGCCCCTGGTCCCAATCCCAGCCCCGTGGTCGTGGCCCTGACCCCAAACCAAGCCTCCGCTCTGGCACTGGTCCCGTCTCCCCTCGCACCAGACCCGTTATTTTCGCTCGTGGTTCGTTCGTGGATCGTCGTCGTCCCCCTGGCTCTGGCCCTCCACCCCTGAGCCCCTCGGCCCAACCCACACCTCTAGCGCCTGGTCCCAGTCCCAGCACCGTGGCCCTGGCCCTGGACCCTGCCTTCACCCTGACCCTGGCCCCAGACCGAGTTTCCGCTGTGGCCCGAATCCCAGCTCCCCTCGCCCCGAGCTTGTTATTTTCGTTCGTGGTTCGTTCGTGGTTCGTTCCTGGTTCGTTGCCACCCCCTGGCTCTGACCCCCCTCCCCTGGGCCTCTCGGCCCAACCCACACATCTAGCGCCTGGTCCCACTCCCAGCACCGTGGCCCTGGCCCTCGACCCAGCCTCCCTGGCCCTGGTCCCAGACCGAGCTTCCGCCCTGGAGAAGGTCCCAGCACCCTTCGCCCTGGACTCTTTAATTTCGCTCGTGGTTCGTTCGAGGTTCGTCGTCGTCCCCCTTGCTCTGGCCCTCCTTCCCTGAGCCCCTCGCCCCGACACACACCTCTAGCGTCTAATCCCAGTCCCAGGCACCCTGGTTGTAGCCCTGGACCCAGCCTCCCCCCTAACCCTGGCCCCAGGCCGAATTTCCGCTGTGGCCCTAAACCCAGCATCCCTCGCCGTGGACACTTTTTTTCGTTCGTGGTTCTGGGCCTCCTCATGGAGCGCGTGCAGGCGCTTGTGCCGCCTCCTGGTGTCGTGGATTGCGGGGGCGGCTATGCAAAGACCGCGTCTGGCACCCCAATCAGCTCCGCACGGGGAGCCCTGGTCCCCGCTCCCCCGCCTCCTCCTGCCCGCCCTCCTCCCCCCGTCCTTCGTGGTCTGATTGTGCGAGAGCCAAGGCACGCGTGCCACTTGTTTAACGCTGTGGGCCCTGAGAGACCCCGGCCCGAGGCCACCTTCTGATTGCCCTGGGGCTCGACGAGAGCCCAAGAGAACATTCCTTCACTCGCGGCGATTAACGGGCGTTATGGGGGAGAGGGAGGGGAGGAAGGGGGGGACGGGTGGGGGGAGGGGGGAGGGCATAACGTAATGCCCGCCCCTCTCCGTGTGGGTCTGGCACCACAGACTGTGGTGTCGGACGCACTGCGGCAGTGCCGAAGACGCCATGGGGGGGAGCGTTACGTTACGGGGTGGTGGTGGGGGGGAGGGGGTGAGGCATACCACGCGTCATAACCCAGAAGAACACAAAAACACTCTCCGATATCTTTACGCCGCAACTTTTCACAACGCGTGGGGGGTGCTGGTTCGGGGTCAGAATCGCTCCCCCTCGCCAGTATTGGGGTGCGTCTGGGGGAATAATATTCGAGGGAAGTCTCGCCGTGCGACGAGGAGCCTCCAGAAAGCCCAGGAAAGTGACAACGAGTTCAGTATGCAACTACACGTGCATCTGGATATTATCCACGGCGCCCCCCTCCCCCGTGCTAATTAATGGGATCGCCATCTCCTCCCCTCCCCCGCTGGATGGGTACGCCCGTGAGCCTCACGAAGGCCTCGCGAATGGGGTCCCCCCCCCCCCCCCAAATGTGGTCGTGGCCCTGTGGGCGTGGCGTGGTGGAGGGTCGTCGTCGTCGTCGTCGTCGTCGTCGTCGTCGTCGTCGTCGTCGTCGTCGTCGTCTTCCATCGGCGTCGCTTCGTCGTCGTCGGCGTCGCTTCCTCGTCGTCATTTTCGTCGTCGTCGTTGCAAGTACATACCCCCCATTCCATCTGGGCCCATCCTATCCGTAGGGTGGATGTGAACCCTCGGCCCAGGATCATACCATGAGCACAGGCAGGAATCGGCGACTTCGGCATCGCTCACAAGGGTGCGCGCGGAAAACACGGGGGTTTGCGGCCACTCTGGAGCACCAAACCTGGCCAGAACCGGCGCGTTCCCCCAGCACGCCCACCTCGGCACTTCAAATTTAACCCGATCGACCGAAATTTTGGCCCGCGCCCATGCACCTTTTCACCCAGACATCCTCCTAAGTTTGTTTTTGTTGTTTCACAACGTGGCACCCTTCCCCATGAGTTGTTTTTTGACGGCCCTGGGGCCCGATGAGGGCCCCTGGCGGCCGAGAGGGCGCAACAACCTCCCATCGTGTTCTTTGTCCGCAGCGCGAGGATGTCAGGGCATGTCTGCACGGAGCAGCTGTTCTAAGAGTCGGCCCGGCGGCACCCGACGCCCGACGCGGCGGCGTCCCTGCGCGGCGTGGGGATGGATCCTGCAAGATCCCGCAGGATCCTGCACCCAAGCCCGTGTCACTGCACCCGTGGCCCTGCATGCAAGATCCTGAAGATCTGGCGCTCTGACTGACCCCCGTCTGCATTGACCCTGGGTCTCTTGAGCCCCAAGTGTTATGTCGGGCGTGTTCCCCGACAGGAAAATTTTCGACGAAAAATAAAAAGTACCCCAAAAATGCACCAAAAAATGCCAAAAATACTAAAAATATAGTCCCCAGACTGTTTTTTTGATTATTTGCGGGGTACTTTGTATTTTCCCTGGAAAATCCACCTGTAGGGGGGACAGGCCCGACTTAACCCGAGTGGTCTCGGCGTGGGGGCCCGCCGACGCCAAGAGCTTCGCGAGGGCCGCCCGGGCCCCGGCGGCGCCCCGACGCCCCAGCGCGGCGCCACCGCGCGGCCCGAGGGCCCTATCGGCGTGGGGGCCCTCAGCGTGCCGGGAGCGTCCGAGCGGGGGGCGCCCCAGGGAGGGGGGCTCGCAAGAACCACGGCCCGAGGCACGTGTGCGGCCCAGTGGGGGAACCCAGGGAATCCTTGCAGAAAGGGAGCCAGGAGATCTGCGACTGAATCTACAGAAAGGAAACCAGAAAGGAAGCCAGGAATCCTTACAGAAGAAAGGAAGCCAGGGAATCCTTACAGAAAGGAATCCGTACAGAAAGGACGCCAGGAAAGCAACAGCAACCCACGGGGGGGCCATGAAACCCAGGAAGCCATCGTGGCCAAGGCCATGACATCCACCCCTCCCTCTGTCCCCTCTTTGCCGCCCCCGAGCGCAGGGACCCTCGACCCTTCGAGCAGGGGATCGACTACAGAATCGATTTCCCCCCCAAAAACTATTTCCCCTCCTCGAGTCTACGACGAATGCGCACAATGTTCGCACACCTATGGGACATTCTGCACATTTCGCAGCCCTTGATCTCCGGGGGCCGACGCCCCAGCGGCGTCCGACGCCCAAACGCGGCGGCGGCCCCGCCGCCATGGCCGTGAGGGGCCCCCGCCCGGCCCGCCCGGCCTGGCGACCGCCCGCGGCGCCGCCCGCGCCCGCGCCCGGGGCTCGGCCGCAGGGCCCGCCGGCGCCAGCGGACGGCGCGCAGGCGACGAGGCAGAAGCGCGAGTAGGCCACCACCTGGGCGGCGAGGATCGAAGAAACGTTTTGATCCGCGGGTCGAGAGCGCACCTCTGCCGGTCGAAGCTGAGCGGGCCGCGCGAAGCTTGCATTGGGCAGAGAAGAGGAGGGAGGAAGCGGCGGAGCCTCAGAGCGAGGCCGAGAGGAGGAAAAGGATCGAAGAAACGCGCGGATTGCTGGGATCTGGTCTCAAGCCCTCTCGGAGCGCGCCAGGTTCGGCGCCGGAGGCGCCTCCAGGGGGGGCCCCGCGCAGATCCAAGAAATCCGCGCGGAGAGTCGAAGGTCTATGCTTATGCCCTGTTCTTCGTCCCCAGACGTAAGCGGGTCTTAGGTGAGGTGGCGTGAGCGACCTTACGCCGCGGCTTCCGCGGGCCGCCGACGCGGCAGGCCACACTGGAAACGAGGACGCTCGCGCGCGACCCTGCGAAGGCGCAGCGCACGCGGCGACGTCGGCGAAGACGACCCCCGTGATTCTGCGCCGCTCACCTGGCGAGAGAAAGCACCGCACACCCTCGGATCGGTCGGCTCTCCGTGGCGCTCTTGACCTCCGGATGCTCTCGGCGGGCGGGGCACGGACTTCCATTAATGTCTGCTACGGTGCTCAGTGAGCACGCAGAGCGAGCGAGCCCCCACCTGTCAGACGCACCTGCTGCGGTATAGGATCGTTAGGCGCGCGTGAGTAGCACGCTGCCGAGCGCCTCCGCCTGCGCCCTTCAGTGGGCTCGCCTTCCGGCGCAGGGGCTTGACCTGGACCTTGATCTTCTCAGATCTGTCGTGTGGTGTCCTGTGCTGTGTCGTGGCGGCTCGTGTCGTCACGACTCGCACGGTGATTTCTGGCACCGCCTGTGTCGCTCAGCCTTACTTGGTCGCGGCTGACCAATGGCCGTTAGCGCGGCTGGTCAGATATGGGCCCGATTCTGAGCCACAAGCAGCGTTCAACCTGTAATGCCAGCGCTGGGGTCGCCGCCGCGTCGATACGACGCGAACCTACCATACCCGACCTACCCTACGTCGACATGCGACGCAACAAAAATCGTGTGGGCCAATATTTGGGCGTCTCCGGCCAGACCTGGCGGGCCGCCCCCGGGCCCCGAGGCCGTCAGAGAAGGCCGCTGGGCACGAAGAGCCAGCCCTGGGGAGGGAGTCGAGATCCCCCGGGGCCCAGGCCATGAAATATTGGCGATGTCGGAGCTGAGGGCAGACCTGCTCGCTCCGAGGCCCGCGCGGTTCTCTTTGGCCCGCGCAGCCCCAACCCCCAGCCCTTTCCCCCTGCGGAGGCGTCCGGGGAGACGGAGACACGCGACCGCCGTGCCGCCGTCCCGCCGCCGCCGCCCGCATTCGACGCAGCCACCTCAGCGCTCTCCTTTTTCAGAAGAAGAGTGCATCAACACATATAAGCTGTCGGAGCTGCGTGCGGATTTCTTGGATCGGCGCTGGACCCGCCTCCCTGGCGCGCAGAGCGCGTCAGGGGGCGGCGACGGAGGCCCCGCCGGGGGGGCGGAGGGGGGGGGGGTCAGCGCCGGCCCAAGAGATCCGCGAGGACATGGGGGAGCTTATGCTTGCACAGGAGAGGACAAGAAAGCGATGCACATGACAAAGCGTCTGGAAGGCCCAGCCTGGACCCCAGATCGGAGCATCACACGACGCTGTCCTGGCTCAGGGAGGCATGTTCAACGATCCCAGGCCCAGGATGGGCCCGGCCAGGATCGGCGCAGGTGCACAGCACTCCTCGCCCGAGCGCGTGCACTCTTCGATGTGCGAACCTCGGCGCTGGCCACGGCGTCGGCGTCGCACGTCTCGGGGCAGTCCGCGGACTCGGGCGCCTCGTTGGAACAAGGAAAAGCAGCACATCCACTTCAAGCACGAAGAGCCAGGGGTGGTCCTCCTGGTGGTGTGGCCTCCCCTCGCCGCTCGAGCCCCCCCTGAGCCCAGCCCGGGCCAGTATTGTGGACCTCCTCGCTAGAAGGTTGCCTCCCAGCATGGCGGTGGTGTCGCTTTGCTTTCCTCCGGCTTCGGTGGCAACTCGCGGGAGCCTCCATGCCATTTTGCCGGCTCTTGCGAATCAGCGCTACCCGACGCTCACCGTTGCTAATCGACGCAAATCGAAACCAAGTCGACCCTGAATCGGCCCTCTCTCATCGATTCACAAACGCCAGCGCACGCTAGTGCACTCTGAGAGCGGAACTTCGAAGACACGCGAGGCTCCAATTACTTGCTACCCAATCCAGCGCCTCGGCCGTGAGGGGCGAGCACATCAGCTCGCCGCCAGCAGCCTCCTGTGCGCGGCGGGGATCTATCCAAATCCACCGCCTGGGAACCGACGTCCTGAGGCCCAAGCGTGCGGTGGATATGGATATTCTATGGACACATCGATGTATATTTGCTCATATGTATGTATGTATGCATGAATGTGTATACGTTTTTACATGTGCATCTATTATGTTCGTCCCCAGGGGGCCCGAATGTAACCATACCCACGGCCTGAGGAGGTCCGCGAAAATCGATCCCCCAGGCGGTGGTCATGGATACCTCCCTGCCTCGGATCCTGCAGCGCCGGGGGGCGCACGGAGGCGCGGCAGCACGCGCACCCGCAGGCCGCCTCGGCGCCCGCGCACGCCGCCAGCTGCGCGCACAGCGCGAGTCGCCGCGCGGCCCAGGGCGCCATGCCCCGACCAAGGGCCCCGGGGGTGCGCGCGCGGGGCGGCCGACGCTTCATTGACGCCGCATCCTGGCGGCGGCGGTGGCCCCTGGTCGCTTACGATCAACGCGTATAGCAAGGATGTGCGGTGAGGATGCATGCCCGCTGGACGCCCAAGTGGCAGCTCTTCGGGCCAATGATGGCCGAAAGATAGGCAAGATAGGCAAGGATGCAAGGGTGCCTTTGGGAATGTTGCTCAGCATAACTATGCGCGTTGGCTGCACACGTAAGAGTGATCCTAGGCAAGGGTGGCCTTTGGTGCGCGGCTTCTGGGGGCCAAGGGGGGGGAGACAGATCCACGCGCGCAAGCCGCTGCTGGGGAGCCCCTGTGCGCCCGCACCAAAAGCCCCGCCGGCGAAGGGCAACTCTTACGCAGTTCCGACCTCCCGGGTGTGGCCGAGGCGGCGCCGCCTGAGCCCCGACGGCGCGTGCCCTTTCTCGATCCCTCTTCCGCACCCGCCGCCTCGCATCCCCGAGCCCGCCCAGCACCGCCCGCCCCGGGCCTCGGCCTCCCTCTCAAGGGCGTGCTCGGCCTCTGGAGGCCTGAGGGCCGCTGGCCCAGCCCGGGGACCGCAGCAGAGACCGCTCAGGGGGTCCAGAGCTATCCCCGGGGGCCGAGACTTCGCGGAGGCCCACCTCGTGACAAAAACGCACCAGTCGGAGGCCTGGGCTGCGGCGCCCAGCACCGCCCGCCGCCCTGATTCTGCCTCCCCTCCCCGCCGCATCTCCTCCGCTCCCCTTCGGTCCTCCCGCCCGACCCCTCTGGAGAAGTCCGGGGGCAGCACGACGGCGAGATGGCACAGACGCCCTGGGATCTGTGGGTTGAGCAGGGACCGACCGTCCCAGCATTCCTGTCGACCTACCAAGACATGTTCTTAGAACCCAGAAATGTCATGAGAACAGGAACAATGTTCTTAGAACATACATCCGTTGTGCAAAACAAAGCAGCCCCAACCAGAAATGTTCTAAGAACATTTCGGCAAAACCGCAACAGGTTCGTAGAACCTGATTGGTGGGCCTATACACCAGCCAGGACGCTTCGCCACTGCTTGAGTGAGAGCAGAATAATGCTTATGGGCGTCGTTCTGATAGCGCCACCGCATAACGCACGGCATACTAATCAAAGCATCTGCCGAACCACATGATAATACCGATCGTATCAACTGCAGCCAACCGATCGACTCCTCCTCATCACTCCGTTCCCATATCTGTTCGCTGTCCTCCCCACCCTGCCCTCGCCACTGCAACTTCCTCACCCCCGTCAGTTCGCCCCCATCTCCTCCCCCTCCCGCCCTTCCGCCCCCTCATGTGACACCTCCTCTCAGCCCCCTGCTCTCTGTCTCTCCGTCCCCCGGCGAAGAGCGCCAGGGTGACCCAATAGGCAGCAGTCCTTTTTTGGTGCGCGGCCTTCCAACCGCTGCACGCGATGCGACATTACTGGCTCACACGAGCCTGCAAGCAATTCGTCTTGACACTCCCTCCCCGACAAAGCCGCTCTTGTTTGTGGCCGATCCCCTCGGCCGGCTCGTGCTGCCACTCCCTCTCCTACCTTCCTGGTCCCCTGGCGTCGATGGCACAGGATCCCCTTCGGACGGGAGAGTGCCACACGTCCAGCAGAGATTCGGTTTGTGAGCTCTGCCTCGTGAGAAATATCCACATTGAACCTCCTGCTCAAATGCTTATCTGACCCCACTGTTGAAGGGCCCGGACGTCGTGCCCCGTGCATCTCACGCTCGATGGACGCAGGAACCGCCGAAGGAGAGGGGGGGGGGACCGCCGAGCGATATCGCTAGCACCCACAACGGCTTTGATAATTCCTCGGGGGGCACGGCGGTGGAGAGTCTCGCAGACAGTCCAAATCCCTGAAACCGCCCTGAGACGATCTAAAACCATCATAGAACGTCATCAGAAAAAAAACACATTGGCTACGCTCGGAAACATTGACCAACTTCTAAGGGCAACATCGACTGGACAGTAGGCTGATTGAAGTTGCCAGGCTGACTGAAGCAGAGCAACGAAGAGCAGCGCAATACGATTCAAAGCAACTCGCCGCAGTGCAAAGCAACGCAGCGCAATGTGAATCATGGCCCTGCAACGCCAGTGATCCCAATGGAACGCGGAATCTCTGATCAGATTCCAATGCAAAGCCAAGCCTCCCCAATGTTGTTTACATGCGCAACCCCTGGTCAGACATGTTAGCTTTTCGGCTCCCGTGAGGCGCAGTCCACGACGGGAAATATCGCCCCCCCGCAGCGCCCGCATGATTAGCACCCGCATTTCCGAAATCGGCCCGTCCCCATCCCTCTGGGCAATAGGAACCGTGCCGATTCCGGTCACCTCCCTCTTGACCTCGCATAGTTATCCCGACGGTCGTGAGGGGCACTCCGGTCCCAGGAGCAACGCAATCCCCGCACCGCCAGCGTTATTTAACACCCGTATTCCGAGATGTGCCCCCTTGCTCCAGCCTCTTCTGGGCAGTAGAGAACTGGTGTTTTGAGCGACAGTTGTAGGAATTAGTTGGCAAATCGGATATCACCAAAAGGGACACCAATGGAGGACCAGTGGAGTCCTACTGGGATTTTGGATTCTCTTTGAACCCTATCAGGATCCGACCGGCCGACCGGAATCCGATTGGGATAAGTCAGAGTGCGGGGGCCGAACGGTCATTCATTGTTCCTGGGTGCGTGGCTGAAGTGCGGATCCCTGGTGAGGATTCTGCTTGAAACCCTTACGGGCGCCCTGGCGCTCTCGCCGAGGCGCCGGCGACATTTTCATTGAAAATGAGGCTCACGCTCGAGCGATTTGGGGGACCGCCAAAACCCCCAACAACAACGCTCCCGCTCGAGACTTCCTCCTTCTTTACTCAGGGTTGGTGTTTTTGCTCGCCGCCGAAAGCCGCCGTCCTAACTAAACCAGCGCTCACGCTCGAGACTTTCTCCTGTTTTACCTTGGACTGGCGCGCTAGTCTTTCTCTCATCGGCGCCGCCCCCAGCAAAAAACACGGCTCCCGCTCGAGGCGTCCTCCATTTTTTACTCAAGCCGGTGCTCCTCCTCGCCGCCGAAAACCGCCGCCCCGACAAAACCAGCGCTCTCGCCCGAGACTTCCTTCCGTTTTACGCTGGACTGGCGCCCTACTCTCTTTTGAATTGGCGCCGCTCCCAGCAAGAACAACGCTCCCGCTCGAGATTTCCTCCCTTTTTCCTCGAGACGGTGCTGTTCCTCGCCGCCGACACCCACGTCCCGACAAAACCACGGCTCCCGCTCGATGCTTCCTTCTTTCTTACTCAAGGCGGTGTTCCTCCTCGCCGCCGAAAACCGCCGCCCCGGCAAAACCAGCGCTCCCGCCCGAGACTTTCTTCCGCTTTACGCTGAACTGGCGCCCTACTCTCTTTTGAATCGGCGCCGCTCCCAGCAAGAACAACGCTCCCGCTCGAGATGTCCTTCCTTTTTCCTCGAGACGGTGCTGTTCCTCGCCGCCGACACAAGCCGTCCCGACAAAACCACGGCTCCCGCTCGATGCTTCCTCCTTTCTTACTCGAGGCGGTTCTCCTCCTCGCCGCCGAAAGCCGCCGTCCCAACAAAACCAGCGTTTCCGCTCGAGACTTCGTTTTGTTTTACGCTGGACTAGCGCCCTACTCTCGTCAGCATTGGCGCCGCTCTCAGCAACAACAGCAGCCCTGCTCGAGACTTCCTCCCTTTCTATTCAGGGCCAGGTCCTTGCCTCACCGCCGACAGCCCCCATCCCCACCAAGGCAATCCTGTCGTTCGATACTTCCTTGTGTTTTACCTTTCGCTGGGGTTCCACTGGCGGTCTTGCATCGGCGCAGCAAGGCGCGGGCATGCGATTTCGAGGCGGGATATGTTGAAATTCCTCGGAGGAGGTGTTTGCAAGACCTCATTGGGCGGGATATCTGGGAATGGGAATAACGGACCCCGCTATAGAACAATACTCCCCCATGACGTGGATGGTTATCATGATGGTCGCATGCTTCGTGTGGAAGCATCGCGCATGAGGGTAAACTGATTGTTGTTGTTGTTGTCATCGTCCCCCCCGCGACCCGGACCGCGACCCACCCGCGACCCACTTCGCGACACACCCGCGACCCATCCCATGACCCAACCGTGACCAACCCGCGACTCCCCCGGAGACCCACTCGGGACCCACCCGCGACCCACCAGCGACCCACCCGCGACCCACCCGCGACCCACCCGCGACCCGGCCCGCGACCCACCCGGGACCCGCCGTCGACCCACCCGCGACCCACCTGCGACCCAGCCCGCGACCCATCTACATTGTTTTGACCATCAAAAATCTGCGCCTGCGGCGGGCCCGTTGCATACCTTGAAAATTTTTGCGCGCCTGCGGCGGGCTTCTTCAAAGCCTCGCAGACTGCCGACGTCCCCGCAGGCCCCCTCACGCTTATCCGCAACTGCGGGGTGCTACGTATTCATTACTGTGTTCACGTTGCAATCCTCTCGGGCTCTCACTGGAAAAAAACTAGTGTCTTGTCGGAATGCGAGTATCATCTGGGTGGGATCCCGCGCCGGGACGCATGGGGGTGGGATACCCCTTCCAGGGCTTGAGAAGCGAAAAAACTTCGCTGGAACAAAAAAGGTCCGATAATTTGAAATCAAGGTTGCCGGTGACGGTCTGGAGGCCTGGAAAGGACCCGAAAGCCGAACAGTACCTCAAACTGTCCGTCGTGAGTGCTTCGCGACGCGAGGGGAACCGGGCTCCCCCGTGAGCTCTTACATCGGCCCACCAGACCTCTCGCAGGGTGCATGCTAGCCAGAACTTGCAGGCGGACCCAGCCGCGGCCACGGGGGCGTCCCAGGAGGCCCGAGGTGGAGGAAATACATCCCAAACCGTCGATTCTCAGCCCCACCTCCTCTCACCTTTACATTCGCAGGGGAAGCCTCGGAAATAAGGGGGAAGGGGGAGAGGGGGAGGGGAAGGGGGAACGGGGAGGGGGAGGAGGAAGGGCGACGGTGGGATGGGGGAGGGGGGGAAGACAGGAAAGTCCGAGACATCGATCCTCGATCCACCCTTCCTCTCACTCCTCTCCTCCCCCTGAGATCCGACGTCACGAAAACATGCAACATCAAGAGAAAGCACGGCCAAACCTATCGAACCCACCTCTCTGCGGCACTTCTCGAGCCACAACGATCCCTAAGGGATCCCTGGGCCCGAAGCTTGGCGAAAACGCGTGAAAAAATCGCGGCGCCTTGGATCTCGAGGTCCCCCCCACTCCCCTCGATCGATCATCCTCCTCCGCCCTCTCCTCCTCTTCCAGCACTCGTCCTCCTCATGTGCAAATCTCCGATTCCTCATCCTCCCTCCCTCTCCTGCTCCCAACGGGACAGAAAGGCACCAATACCGCCACTCTCCGGACCTCTCCAGGGACGCGTTCCGATCAGACTTGCGAGGAGAGTTCCAGCCGTGGCGACGAGGGAGGTCCCACTCCTCCCCTCCTCCTCGCTCCCCCCCTCCTCGATCCCCCCCTCCTCAACCGATCCTCCTCCTCCTCCTCCCTCCACGCTCCTCGACTCCCTCCCCCCTCCCTCCCCACTCCTCGCTCCCACCCCTTCCCCCCTCCTCGACCGATCCACCCCGAACCATCGGGGCGCTAACAGTGCGGCTCTTCATCCCCACCGGGGGGCGCCAAGGCCCGCCCGGCGGCGTACTCGGGCCGAGCGCCCGCCCTGCCCGGCCAGGGCCAGAGCAGCCCCCTTTCCGCCCGCACGGCGCCCTCAGAAGCCTCCCAGAGGGGCCAGGGCCTCCCAGAGGGGCCTCCCAGAGGGTTCGGGAGTCGCCAAGGGCGCCCTTAGGGGCCTCCCAGAGGGTTCGGGAGTCGCCAGAGGCGCCCTTAGGGGCCTCCCAGAGGGTTCGGGAGTCGCCAGAGGCGCCCTTAGGGGCCTCCCAGAGGGTTCGGGAGTCGCCAGAGGCGCCCTTAGCGGCCTCCCAGAGGGGCCTCCCAGAGGCGCCCTTAGGGGCCTCCCAGACGGTTCGGGAGTCGCGACGCATTGTCGATGCGTCACTGATGCGTCGGCGATGCGGACGTCGGCGATCATCGGAGGCGCTGGCATGGAGAAAGTCGGGCTTCGCATCGAGCCAGGTCGCCTCTGCATCGACTCCATCTGCTTCGACCCCGTCTGGGAGTCCTAGGGTCCTGGAACTGCCACCTCCATGAGGGGGAGTGATGGGGAGGCCCTGACATACTCTTGCTATGGAGACAGACTAAACGGAGGTGGCCCCCAAGAGGCCCCCAAGAAGCTCCCAGGAGGCTCTAAAATTCCTCCCCAGGGAGCCGTCCGAAGAGACCCCAAGAAGCATCCCTCAGGACTTTGGCCCACGTCGGCATCAACGTCGTCGTCGTCCTCGTCGTCGTCGTCGTCGTCGTCGTCGTCGTCGTCGTCGTCGTCGTCGTCGTCGTCGTCGTCTCCCTTCAAGGTCGGCGACACAGGCCGTAAAACCTTCGTACTCTAGGCGGACAAATGGTTGATCATCCTCAACCTCCCGCGAGCCCTCCGCGCCGCCCCGGCACCGTCAACAAAAAGACGGCTCGGGACGGGGCGCCCCGGGGGAGGGGTGCGGACGCTCTTGGGTGCCACGCTGCGCAACAGGTCACGACGGAGGATACCGGGGAGGGGCGGGGGGGGGGACATCGACCTGAAACTGGCGATCCACCGCCGATAGATCGACAAGAAGCCCCCGATAGCGAATACACTCGGTCCTGGGCGGGTTGGGCTACGAGGCCCCCACCATCAGCGGTGTGTGGTCGATCGGGGGTCAGGTCGATGCGTCCCCCCCGGAGCCAATCCCCCCCTGACGCTGCCTCCGACTCTTTCAGTGCCGCGCCGGCCGAGGGGGGGATTTTGAGAGGGAGGAAGGGGGGGGGGGGGGGGATGGGGGGCAATTCTCCAGCACAGGAGGCGGCGAGGCCTCCCCCGAGGAGGATCAGCGAGCTCCTCGGAAGGGCAGAGGTAGGCTGAGCCTTCTGAGAAGGCACACTCCTCGACCCTGCCCCCCCGGGGCGCGCAGCCGACTCCTGGGCCACCCGGCCCTGACCCGTGCGGGAGGACCACCTCTCTAACCTCGAGGCTCACAACGAGGAGTCGGGCATCACGTCTTGAGAAGAGCCCGGCGAGACGGAGGACTTCCAGTGGCTCTCGGCCTCTGGGGGCCCTCGCCCGGGCCCGGGGCCCTCCCAAACCCGCTCGGGCCGAGTTGGCCCTGAGAACGGGTCGAGCCATCTGGGGACCCAGCATTGACGAACAAGTCAGGCAGTCGGAGGTCTGGGGATCATGGCTCAGAGGCCTCCTGGATGGGGCCCGAGTAATAGAGATGGGGTCGAAGGACGCCTCGGCGATGCATCGCCGAGGCATCGATGCATCGCCGAGGCATCAGCGATGCGCTGGCGACGTCGGCGATGCATCGGCGACCTCGGCGTGGAAAAATTGTGCCTCACATCGAGCCGCATCGCCGATGCATCGGCGATGCGGGAGGGAGGGGAGGAGGAGGGGAGGAGGAGGAGGAGGAGGAGGAGGAGGGAGGAGGAGGAGGAGGAGGAGGAGGAGGAGGGAGGAGGGGGAGGAGGACGAGGAGGAGGAGGAGGAAGAGGAGAAGGAGGAGGAGGAGGAGGGGGAGGGGGAGGAGGAGGGGAGGAGGAGGGGGAGGGGAGGAGGGGGGGGAGGAGGAGGGGGAGGAGGAGGAGGAGGAGGAGGAGGACGAGGAGGAGGAGGAGGAGGAGGAGGAGGAGGGAGGAGGAGGAGGAGGGGGAGGAAGAGGGGGAGGAGGAGGAGGAGGAGGAGGAGGAGGAGGAGGAGGAGGAGGAGGAGGAGGCCCAAAGGTCCGCAGCCTTTTTCGCTCTCTGGGCCTCCGGGGCCCCCTAGTCGCCGCTGGCGGACGCGTCCCGAGGTGCTGCTCCGGACGCACGCCCGAGAAGTCCAACGTCTGATGTCTGCTCCCCTGTCGCTGGACCTCTGCTTCATTCGGGTCGGGCGAAAGTGGGGGATAACAGAGGGGGGGGGTGAGAATCAGCTCACGTAGCTGATTTTACCGGCGCCTCCCGGCGCCGGGAGGCGCCCCTGTATCGAGGAATGGGCTCGGCGGAGGGGCCGAAACCAGCTGCATGCAGCAGATTTCGTAACCCCCCGTTTCCCAACCCCCCCATTTCGCCCGACCCGATTCATGCGACTGTTTGCAACGGTGCGTCCTATGGGGAAGGCTCCACCTGCTTGAAACAGACGCCCCCAAGACAGCCAAGATCCACTCCATGTGGGGGGGAGGGGGCGCGAGGGCCCGCGCCGATCGGCGAGACAATGACTAAGAAAACGGTCACTATACCTGATGTGCAGATGACGAGGGGGTGCGAGGGCCCGCGCCGATCGGCAAACCAAGCAATGAGAGGAAAGGATCCCAATTACGACGGACTTGCTCTGAAAATACTCGGCCCTCGCCAGGCCCTGGCGCCGTCGAAACAAATTGCTCAGGATGGCAAGCCAAGGTCAAGACCTTCGGAAGGTCACCGCGTGAACAGATCACAGCTTGGGACCCCGAACCCCGAACCCCAAACTTCAGCCTCGATGTGGGTGGATTCCTCTGCCCTTCTGAGACTCAGGGAGGCCAAATGCGAGCACGCGTGTGGAAGGCGGGTTCCTTTTGCGGTCGTCCGACGTGTACAGGGGCCTGCGAGGAGCTTGAGGCCTGGCTGCAGAAGCACACTCTAGCAGTTTGTTTGTGGGGGGGCCTTTCCAAGAGGAGAAGACGGGCCCAAACCCCAAACTTCGGCCTCGATCGATGTGATGCAGACCATGAGCGCCCTGAGACTCTTTCACTCGCTGCAAAGCCATAGCAGCAAAACGAAAGCATCACCTCTGCTGATCCAGGCCTGCTGCATGCCGGCGTCCGAGACCTCCTGGGGGGCCCAGGGGGGGGGGCGCCGCCGCGCCGGGATGCGTCTCGAGGCTCTGGCCAGGGGGCGATGTCGGTTTCCAGGCACGGGGCCCAAGGCCTCCACCGCTCCAGGCGTCCACGGAAGGCTCGTGAGGGGCGGCCCTTGCTTTCCCTCCTCGGCTGTGGGATCTCGAAGAGATCGTGAAGCCTCTCTCGGACCCCGGGACTGTCAAGAGCAGCCCAGGACAGAAGGCCTGTCCCGTGGGCGGTGCCTCCGAGAGCTCCGAGGGCCCACCTCGTGACAACCAGCACGACGTCGAAAGTGTGGTGGGAAGGGCAAGGTCAAGGCGCGAGGGCAGGATCCGACGGTCTCGAGGACGCGATGATCAAAAACAGGAGGCGCAAGGACTGGCACGTATCGCTCGCCTCCAGGCGTTCCTGGGCCAAGGGCTGCTACAAGATGGTCAAGAGAGGTATGAGCGAACAGTGAGCTCTCAAATTACGTAGCTGGTGCTGCGGATAAACTGACGGTGACAGATGTTCAGGGTTCTCCTCCTGCCTCGGTCAAGCGTGGGGTGTCCGCGACGTTCCCGTCGCACAAACGCCCGGCGTCAGTACGGCTTGTGGCCCTTGGACTTACCTGCGGGATGAGGTCACAGGGCGGAGAATGCGATACAAGCGCACATACATATCTCACAGCGAACAGGCACGTACAGGATGAGCAGTACGAGTCAGTAGCGCCATGAAAAACAATACGATGCGATCGAGTGGAATGCGGCGCTACGCAATGCAATGGACAGCAACGCAAGAACCCTGCACTGCAAGAAACGTGGAATAATCGACAAAAACGCCCCAATCGCAAAACAATGCAACGTAATGAGAAACAGCGCAATGCAACACAGTGCAAAACCAGTGCCAAAGCAACAAAATACAGTTCAACGGTAACGCAATACAATGTAACTGACATGCTCAGTCGAGCGCAACGAAATCGTGCAAACGAGTGGTCGGCCAGCGGCCGTGCTGCAAAGGACGAGAAGTGACCACTCAGGAAAGCTCAACTGCTTAACTTGGCCCCGAACCCCCGTGGATGTGAGTTGTTCAGTACGCAGCCTTTGAGCTCCAGACCCCTTCCATGGGGGGATCATTTCGTCCCAAGTCTACTTCTGATGGCCCCGAGGCCTCAGAAGTACGAAGTGAAGGAAACACGCCGCAATTGAAAACACATATCGTCGGAGATCTGGGACGCTCCTTGCGCTGCATGTTTCTCTCCCCCGATCGCCTTTGCCGCCGGCGCCAACGCCCTGCTTCACGGGAGGCTTGGCCTTCGCAAACGCACTATCTTCGGTGGTGGACTTGATCTCGGGCACCGAGGTGTTGATCGCCATCGCCAGGTAATGCATCTCCCACTGGGCCTGATCACATTGTTTAAGAGGCAACTCCTGGGAGGTCTCCAAAAGAACCGACTGCTCCGGATTAGCCCAGATGATGCCCAGGATTCAGCCGGACTAAGCGGGAGTAGGCGGGACGAAGCAGACTCGAACAGGATGATGCCAGTTTCGGACGGTTTCCGGCAACGAATACACCAGCGCCAATGCCGAATCGAATCTCCCAGGGGTTGCACCCGAGCTACCGTGGCAGGCGGGAGCACGTACCTCGCCCCGTGGCTCGGGAGAGGGGAGGAGAGCCAGACGGGGAAGGGAGGAGCCCATCGTGAAGGACGATGGGGGGGGAGAAGGGGTGGCGAGAAGAGGGGCGAAGGGGGCTTGGCGAAGCAGCTGCTTGTGGCCGGGCCTCCAGGCGCCTCGAGGCGGCGGGAGGCGAAGCCGCCTCGAATGCCCCGTGCCCCGCGGCGGAGCCGGAACGGGCTGCGCGCAGCAGCCTCCGTGAGCCCCTGTTACTCTCGCGGGGCCGCTGCCACTCTCGCGGGGCCTCTGCTGCTCTCGCGGGGGCCTCGGACATTCGCAGGGTCTCCGTCACTCTCGCGGGGCCGTTGCTACTCTCTCGGGGCCTCTGTTACTCCCGCGGAGCTTCCGCTTTGCTGCGCCTCCTCTCCCCCGGGGCCTTTGCTACTCTCGCGGGATCCTGGACTCTTGACCTCTGGACCTGTGGGCCGCGCTTTTTGAGCCACCGGTCGTTTCACTGATGGCCCCCGGGCTTAAAAAGGGCCTCGAGAGGTCACAAAAGCAACTACTGCTTCCCAAAACGAGCGTTTCGCCTCAAAGTCTGGGCGCAAACGGGCCTGTGTCATGCCCCCCGGCGGCTGCGTCTTGGCAACTGCACATCGAAATGATTGTGGGGCTATGGGAAGGGGCACCTCAATCTGGGCGCGAACAGTCCCGTGTCATACCCCATGGCGTCCCCACTTCCTTGGGAGGCCAAGCTGCCATGCCTGCTACATCGCGGTGACCATTTGGCTGTGAGAAGGGACGGGTCCACATTCCCGAGCTGGCGTTTCGCCTGAGAGATTCCCTCAAAAAGGGGGGCCAGGGGTCCGTCCCGTGTCATGCTCCCTAGCGGCTGCCCCTTAGCACGCTCGAATGGTATGCATGCCACATCGCTGTGAGCACGGGGCTGCGGGGAGGGACGCGTCCACTGTTCCCGACCGGCGGTTCGCCTGAGCGGCTCCCTCAATCTGGGCGTGACCGGTCCCCCGTCATACTCTCTGGCGGCTGCCCCTCGGCAGGCCCAAATGACGTGCATGCTACATCGCGGTGATCATGGGTGCGCGCTGGAAGAATCACAGGTGAACCAACGCTATTGCACCCAAGCAAACTCGAAACCGACGACGTGGACTCGCGGCGAAAATGCGAAAGGGAAGGTTCAAGAAACTGACGGTCATGCTCTGGAGCCCCCAGGGGAGGGTTGCAACAAAAATGACAACGACAAGTCAAATCATATTCTACAAGGCTAAACAGCGACGACGTTAAGCCAGATCGCAGAAATTTCGACGACGAAGATATGCCAACGAAGAGGAGGGGTTGGGAATGCTGACGACGGCGCGGCCTCCCGACCCGACAGTCCCCTCTGCCGATAAGTGAGTCCATAAAACCCCGGAAGTCGTTCCCTAGTGGAATCGCGCAGTGATCTAGAACAGACACAGCTACAAACCCAAAACAGGCGTTTCGCCTGAGAGGTACCCTGAGGTCGGCCATGAGCTCCTACAGGATGAGCTTGTGAGAAAAATCCACCTTACAAAAACAAACAACAAGATATTCCAAACAGCACGGGAAATCGTCCCCTGACGATTTTTTCACTGTTCTTGAAACTTCCTTCTGTAAAGGGACATGCCCAACTTAGAGCTACTCCCAAAACATTCGCTTCGCCTGAGAGGTGCCCTCCATCTGAGGGCCAACGGGCCCGTGCCATGAACCCCGGGCGGCTCCCCCCCGGAAGGCGCAAGGCCATGCCCGCTGCATCGCGGCGAGTCCGAGTGCGAGTGAAGCTGACGATAGGAGTTGTCAGAGCATGAAAGGATTTGAGCGAGCACGGGGCTGAAAAAAGAGTGACGCTGGGCTGGGTGGATCGGTGTAATGTTGGAAAGTTGAGTGCGCATGTGGAGGCGAGTCCGAGTGAGTAGGATCAGGAGCACATGACTACGAGTGCGTGCGAATCTGGCTACGAGTGGATCTGAATGTGAACAAGACGTGTGACTGACTCTGAGTGTGAGAAGATTGAGACGGCATGCGCCTGATGAAAGCTGAGTCTCAGCGCGTCAGGGTATGAGTGTCCTGCGTGCGCGTGGCTCTGAGGATGCGCCATTCGGATGTCTGAGTCTGCACAGTACTTGCGATGGGAATGAGAAGGCGGCCGTGGGGGAGGGAGGGAGGGATGGAGGGAGGAGGGAGGACGGAGGAGGGAGGAGGGTGAGGCCTGGGCGCGCCACCAACAGCACGAGCCCCCATCCCGAGGATGCGCGGGCGAAGAAGCGACCGCCGCCGCCTCGACGTCCTCGGGCCTCCCAAGAAGGCCCCCGCCGGGGTCCGGGGGTGGCGACCAGAGAAACATCCCAGACCAGCGGCTCCGCCGCGAGTCGTTCCTTGGCGGCGCTATGGGGCCCGGCGAGGGCCCCCAGAGGCCCGGCATGGGCCGAAGCCCGCCAAGCTGGACCTCTGCCGCGGTGGGGGCCTCCGGCGGCCGTCCGGGGACGGCACGGGCTGCCCTGGCAGACCCTCCGGGAGGCACAGCTGCCAGAGAGTGCCCCGACGAGAGGACCTCCAAGAGCCAACGAGACCTCCCCCCACAGCCGACGCCGCCCCCGACCGAAGCTGCTCGACGGCCTGGGCGTTGGCCTGGGTGCTCTCTGAGCAGGAAGAGGGCGGAGGAGGGAGGAGGAGGACGAGGAGGAGGAGGAGGAGGAGGAGGAGGAGTAGGCGCGATCGCCTGATCCCTAGCTATAGGATGCTCTGCCAGCACTTCCTCAATCCGCCCCTCGCCCTCATGTTATACATTTCCTGTTCCTCTTCCCAGGCGCGCCCGAGGCCACCTGAAAGCATTGCCCTGCCACAAGAATTTACCACACCCTGTGGCCGACAATCCTGGCAGGAGGCCGCGCCCAAGGCACTTGCTGCCGAAAGGCCCCTGCGCATGAAAACCATCCAGTGGATCGGGCAGGGCTGGCGGGGCAGGGGTTCCGGCACAGATGGAAGAGGGAAGAGCGATCCTGGGCATCGAAGTGTCCGTGCGTTGCTCCGTTTGCAGCTTGTTTCCAGCACAGCTTCAGCCGATGATTACCCACAGAAGGTAGCCAAATCCCACGGCCAACCCTGCTAGCACGAGGCCGCGCCCGAGGCACCCCTGCCGCCGCAAGGCTCTTGCGCGTACAGTCCGGATCCCCAACTTCCCCCCCTCTTCCAGATCACCTCGCCATCACTCCCCTGATGCTTCTTCTGTCCAGCACGCCACAATGCGGCGCGCCGCCTGCACACCGTGGAGAAGTGGGCGCGCCTGCCCGACGCTCAGTCTGCACGCCGCCCGTGGCACGGTCGTCAGGGGGGGTAAAGGAGCAGGGGGATGGGAGCCAATGGTGTACGACGCGGCGGCGGGCACAGCATTATCTTATTCGGCCGCAGCTCTCCAGTGACCCCTTCCAGCGCCCCCCCTCCCCCCACTTGCGCCGCCATCTTGGGACCTACCCAGGTCGGCACACCGTCAGGGGTGTGCCCGCCACTATCGGGGGAGGGCGCTTGGGGGGCTCCCTTGTCTGCTGGGACCTCTCCCTCCTCTCGCCCGCCCCTCCTCGTCGTGCCTGCTGCTCTCCATCTCCTCCTCGCCTCCTTCGCCTCTCCTCCTACTTAAGTGGCGACATCCTCACCCTACCCCCACCAACCATCGATTCACATGAGTCGATTGGAAGCCGGGGTGGGGTTCGAAGTTCGCGACCCGCTCGACGAAGTCCGAACCCTACCCCCGCCGCCCATCGAGTTGCCCGAACCGTTGATCGGGTGGGGTAGGGCTCGGATTTCGCCGCTGACTCCTGCTGCTGTGCCCTCCCGTGTCGTGCCCCGTCGTGGCCTCCTCCCCTCCCCGGGGGGCAGCCCCCCCTCCTGGCCGTTCCCCCCCCCCCCGGCGGTGCTCTGCTGCTGGGGCGGGGACGGGGGCGAGGGCTCCAGCTCCGTGTGGACAGATCAGTCCGCGGTCACGAGTCACGAGGAGAAGGGGGCTCCGGGAGGAGGAGGAGGAGGAGCAGGAGGAGCAGGAGGAGGAAGAAGAGGAGGAAGAGGAGGAGGAGCAGGAGGAGCAAGAGGAGGCGTAGGAGTAGGAGTGAGAGGTAGTAATACAAGTAGGCGTAGGGGTGGAAGTAGGAGTAGGGTAGGAGTCAAGCTAGCCAGCTCGAGCGAGTCAAGCATGGCATGCCCATTCCCACCCGCCCTCCCACAAAATAAAAAGCAGTGCTGGCGCCACTGGGGACCGAAATCAGATCGGCCAGGTGGCTTGCCACAGCTGATGCAGCCGCGATGGCGGTTACTGATAAGAAATCCCTGGCGCGTCTCAAAGACTGCGCTGGCATTTCAGCACGAGCCGAGGAGGCTCCGGGAAGCCTCAGGAGGCACTAGGAGGCCTCAGAAAAAGTTCCAGCGACCCCCAAGAAGCCCCAGGAGGCTTCAGGAAGGCCCAGGAAGCCCCAGGTAATTCAAGGAGGCTTCAGGAAGCCCTAGGAAGAGTACAGAACCCCCCGGGGATCCCAGGAAGCCCCAGGATGCGTTAGGAGGCTCCAGGAGGAT